ATCCATCTTCTCTTAACTAAGGTGCTGGGATTTCTCATTTCTAGGATGGCTGAGAGACCCAGATGACACTCATGGGGCATTTTTATTCTCATTCTATGCCATCTCTCCTGAGCTACCCAGATATCTATTTCTTATATTAGGGCTCTGCTTAATAATTTAAGATTGATATGCTTTCCAACTTATGAATGTCCTTAGTAACCTTCTTTGAAGAAGATGTTTTTCTATTCCCTAAATAGTTGTTTCATTTTTTGCTCTTTTAAAAACCATTTTTTCCCTATGTCTAATTTCTTTTAATGCTAAGAAAATGTGGTTTGTATGTTTTATTTTTTACCTTTTGAAAGAGATTTATTCTTTAAAAGCCCTATATATGATTAATTATTGTTATAATTTCATGGATGTTTGAGAAAAATACAAAAAAAAATGTTCTCTGTAAAGAGGAAGTCTGACATATATTTTGTATACTCTTTATTTTGCATAGAGTATTGTTCAAATGCTGTCTTTACTTTTCTGTACTAGATTTATCCGAGACTGTGATGCTTTATAAAAATTTCCCCTTCCTAGTATAATTATTTTTCTCCTTCTGCAGTTTTGTGTTATATATTTCAATCCCATGTTATTTGATTCTTAAGATTTATGAGTTTTATATGTTTGTTGTGAATTGTGCCCTTTATCAAAATAAGATTTTTAAATCCCATTTAATGCACTTGATCTTGAATATGACTTTGTCATATATTACTATTGCCATTCCTGCTTTAATTTATGTTTGTTTATCCTCTTAGTTTCAATATTTCTCCTTTACAACGTTTGAGTAGAGGCAAACAAAATGAAGAGGTAATTTAGAAGTGTTTCTTATTCAAACCATGTATTTTAAAAAAAAAACATCTCTCATGTACAACATGCATGAGATTTTAGAAAAAGTAATGTGAGGATTTCTGTCATTTAATCAGATTGATTAACTTATTTATACTTAAAACAGTTTTTATTGTTATGTCTGTCATTTTGGTTTTGTGCCTGGATTTTTTGTATGTCTCATTGCTTTTTTTTTTAAATGCAATGTGGACCATATTTCCTCTGAGTTTTCCCCTCAGCATTTATAATTCTACTAGCACTTCCCCTTTAATTATTAAAAATAATGCATTCGAACTAATAATTCCCCACCAACAATAACAGCTTACATACATTGAGTGTTTCTTAGGTGACAGGCTTTTTTTCAGATATGTTATAAAACTAAACTTTAACAACTACTGCATGAGGTAGGCCATGGCATTTTTATGCACATTTTAAAGATGAGAAAACCAATTCACAGAGAGTTAAGTACAGAATTCCCATAGATTTCCCAGAATGCACCGCCAGAGTGTAACCCAGGCACTCTGACTTGGCCCCTGCCCTCTTACCTGCCCTCTTGCTCTAACCCATTTTTAAGAACTAGATATTTTTGTGTCCCTGTAAGTTGAAAATCTAGTATTTTGTTTTAATCTATTCTCCCCTCATATGCCTCCTTTTAATTTCATTTTTTATAACAAATGATGAAATCAGATTTTACTGATATGTGGTTTCTTCCTAAAACAATATTTGTTTGTATTTATTCAGTAACCATGTTTTAGATAGTCATTTAGACTTGTTTAACTGAACTTTTATTATTGTCTTTTGTATTGTTCTTTAGTTTGATTTTGAGGCAGCTGAATTATGTTTTCACAACAATGTTGTCAGTAAAGATAAGGTCACATATTTTCTCAGCTCTTGCTTATCTGAGCATGTGTGCTACATTTGCTCATGTGCAAACTTTGCCTAGGTATAGGCTTATTGAGTTATAATCTTTTCTACTTTCTAACCCTAAGAGGTGTACCATTTCCCCTGCCATATATGATTGCAGAAGGAAGTATGACCCAAGAATGATATTTTGTTCATATAGATATATCTACTATAGGTTTATTTATACACACACACACACACACAGGCTCATACATGGAAATGCATGCCTTTTAAAAAGTAACCTGAATTGTAGGGGGCAAGCCCTATTCTGCTCAGTGAGGAGAGTTGGTTTAGACTGCCAATCATACATACAAGAGTGGGCTGTATCTAGAACCAAATTCACCCATAAGAAAGAACACAGGGGAGGACTTTGGACTTCCAAGCACAGCGTCTTTCATGATGGAACTATGTGTACATGAGATGATGTTGAGTATGTACCATCTTAGCCTAGGAAAGCCATCAGCAGGTAGCTAGTGCACATACATCTTGTCAATACTTGGTATTTTTTACTTGATAAACAACCACAATAATGTACAAAGAGCAGATATAAGGGCCTCAGCTGAATTCTCATTTATCTTGAACCTAGGATGGACGTTCTCCTTACAATTTATTTATTTAGTATTGTGTCCAGTACTGGGCCTCTGAATTTTCACCAGAGCAACCTGTTTATAAGCTAGAGTTTATGGGTTATATTGATGTGGTAGGTAGAATAATGACTCTCTAGGTATGTTCAAATCCTAATCTCCAGGGCCTGTCAAGATGTTATTTCACATGGTAATGGGACCTGCAGATGTGATCAGGGACTTTGAGATAGGGAGATGCTGCTGAATTATTAGGTTAGGCTCAATGTCATCATAAGGATCCTTGTAAATGAGAAAAGAGAGCCAGAGAAGATCTGATGCATTGAAGCAGAGGTTGGCAGGATGCAGATTCTGGCTCTGATGGTGGGGGAAGTCCCTGTGAGTTTAAAGATGCAGGTGACCTTTAGGAGCTGGAAAAAGCAAGGGAAAGGATTCTCCTCTAGATTCTCTGGAAGGGACACAGCCCTCCTTACTCCTCAGTTTAACCCAGTGAGACCTATGTTGGACTTCTGACCTCTAGAATTATGGGTTAATGAAATCTGTGTTATCTCGACCACAAAATTTATGGTAATTTGGTTAGCAATAGTAGGAAACTGATATATTTACCAAGGAAGAAAGAAAATTGATGAAGTCTTCACAGTATCTCAAGGAGGAAGGACGAAATCAGGATATTTATTGAAACATTAAAGTCTGAGTTAGAGGCAGATATTTTAAGGTAGAGGTTCCATTAGGATTGGTTCAGGAGCATGGTATACTGGGATTAGATTGTAAGGCAAGGGTTTTGAGGAGGGTGTTCATAGTCTTGAGTCGAAGATGGATTGGAGCTTTCTGCTGAAGAGTTGATGGGATGTTCCTGGAATAACCATTTATTTGTAATTTCTGTTTTCCTGGACGGGAGTCTACTGCAATAGTACAGTTGTGTGGAAGAAGGCAGGGCAATAATAACTAAACCACCAGTTTGGTCAATTGCAAGGAGGCCCTGATTGCGAGTCAAATTTTCAAGTTTCCCAAGGATAGAGGAAAGGCCACAGAATCTTCTGGTATTTTTTTCTTTCCTTGGCACTTTTTCTTTTTCCTTGGAACTTGACTATTCAGTGGAGTGTAAATAGGTTTTACACCTACTCAAATGCTGGGATTTTTTACTTAAGACATTCTTTTTCTTGTTCCTGGTATATCAGGTGTATTCTCTCTCTCTTGCTGCTGTAACCATTGGTCAAAAACTTTAGTTGCTTAAATAATATAAACATATATTTAAGTCTTACAACTCTTTAGAAATTTGACACAAGTCTCCCTGGACAACGATCAAGGTGTGGGGTGGTATTCCTTCTGGTGGCTCTGGTGGTGGATCCACTTCCTTGTCTTTTCCAAATTCTAGAAGCACTCGTATTCCTGGGATCTCTTGCACTCAACACCAGCAGTGGCAGTCTGAGTCCTTTCTTCCTGCCATCTGCTTGGTTCTCTGCATCCAGGAAAGGGTCTCTGCTTTTAATCTGTTGTGAACAGATTGGCCCCACCAGGGTAATGCAGGATGCTCTCCCTATCTCAAGTAGACCTTCATCTGAAAGTCTCTGGAACCATCTAGGTAACATATTCACGACTCTGAAGATGAGAGCATGGATATCTTTGGGGCATGTGGTTCAGCCACCACCTCTGCAGTAAATTCTTCCCACGTGTAAACACCTCGGCTACCTTTTGGGGGACTACTCCCCTCTTAAAAATATACTTACAAATATTTTATAAATGTTTTCTTAAGGCTGACATGCATATTTACTTCATTTATCCACCAGGCTTGTTAGTTGTCAAGGATCAGGGTGGATGGTTTCTCCTTGACCCTATTAATACCAACCTGGTGGAGTGAGAACTTCAGATCTTTGGGTGGGAGGGTAATTTCTGTGCTCTGAGGTTCTTGTGCTATGAAGAATGGCAGCACCTTCTCTGTTGACTGAAGTCAGTGTAACCAGACAGGGTATGCAGAAGGCTGGGGGGAAATCCCTACCCTGTCTGTGTAGGATTAATCCCACTGTTTTGTTACTGAAAATATTTTTAGAGGTCTTACGGATCTTAATCAGGTGTCCCGATTTCAATGGCTAGTCTATTTTTATATCATTCTGTGTTTTTAATGAGTACTTAAATGGGGAGGCATGGTGGGATACGTCAGTTGTTACTCTTTGGTTATTCTGTGAGCTTAGCCATCACCTGGAATTGATTGCTTGTCATTTTCCTTCAATGTGGTCATAACTCTTCTTCAGCGCTTAGTCCCGTTACACTGTGTGCACACTGAAGTCTCATCTCACACTTCCCAGTGCTCTGGGTGTGCTCTGTCTTTATGGTACCCACCACACCCTTCACATGTGATGGGGACAGGAAGGGTGCTTTATGTCCTTTCTGGGCAACATAAAGTTTCACGGAAACTTTCAGTGCAACTTGAAAACAGATCTTCCATTACGCAGACACATGCAGGAAAGATGCTTCTCTTCAGCTTCATTAGGACTCTCCTAGATAGTAAGAACAACCTCTTTTCAATCACTCCATGCCCACTATCTACTAGATCAATTGGGTCAATAAAAATACTTGTAAACTCTAAGGATTTAATAAACATTATCTGTTGCTATGACTGTTATTACCAATATATTAATAATGTACATGCTTGTTTTATTTCTGCTTCAGACTCACCTCGACATCTTGGAAAAAAGTATCAACCCCAGGCAAGTCTACTTCCGGCAGGAGGTTCTCTGCCACACTCTGGGAGGGAACCCATGTCCATTGGTGACCATCACAGCCATGCCAGAGTCCAGCAGCACTGACCATCTGGAGCAGTTCCGTGAGTAAAACGAGAACTCTCTTCTTGGACAATTGGGCTAGCAGTGTCTTCTGCAGTTCTGGGACCACTCCATAAACTGACAGGGACTTTTCTGTCTTTATAAAAATACACTCCCAGTGTTTTTGGTGTGACATAAAGGGTAAATATTAACGTCACTCTGTTGTTAAAGAGAGTGAAAATGAATTACCAACTGTCCAGGAGATGAAATGACTTGCTAGGATAGAGAGCAGATTAGTAATGACAGTCACTTCCTTTCTGAAAACAGAACCAGGATCTTTTCCAATTTCTAATCCAGGGACTTTTCTGAAGCTGAGTTTCTGAGCCCTGGCTGAAAAATCCCTTTGAGAACCCATATACCTTGGTCTGACAGGCTGAGAGTGTGAGGGAGGCTCTAGCCAACAACCATCAGACCAAACCAAACACAGAGACACACTCACAGACAGACAGATACACACACACACACACACACACACACACACACACACACACACACACACACACACAGAAACAGAATATACGAACACACTGACACAGATAAACAGACACACACAGATACACAATGCCCTTTCAATATGCAAGTCATGATTATGTGGCTGACTTGTGATCAACACGCTTTTGAGAACGGCTTCTGATGTAGCTCCAGACTTAGGAAGGCAAGAAAAACCAAACAGAATGAAGAATGCTTTGCAATACAAAGAAGTCTGGGAGATGGAAGAGAAGACTGAAGAATAAAACCCAGCTAATTTATCCCCAGAAGATAACTCCTTACCTGATGAAGTGCTAATGGCCTTCAGGTGACTCTTTGGTGGCTACAGAATGTAATTTCTCACACCCCATCACACCTGACAATGATGCTTAACAACCTGGCTAATCAACAACTGATTATCCCATCTGAATTAATGAGGCCCTAACATGGTTTAATGAATAATAAGGGTTTTTTTTCAAAACTTATGTGTTCTATGCATTTAAGAGCAATTTCTCTAATGGTCATAGGGTCTTCCACTTGGCAGATGAACTGTACTAGGGGCTGAGAGACAGTAATTCTTCTGGAAAAATCTTCACTGAATATTTTTTTATTTAAGAAATTGGTTGCATATAAGTCTGTGCTTTGCAAGGTCCATTTCTAAGGGGAGGAAAGTGGAACCCCATTGTGTAATTATAACATGGGGGTGCTTTTGTATTTACAGGTTGGCTTATGCGGACATGGATACTTTTGTTGATGTTATAACCAAAAAGATCATTCTTACTTTGAGGAGAGGACTTGAAACAGTGAAGTTCCCTACAAAATGGTTCCTAGGAAACAGTTAAGCTTAAAAAAAAAAAGAGACAGAGAAGTGTTGTCTTAGTACATTCTTATATGAATCAAAGGAGTCTGGTTTCTAGTTGCTGTCTATATGATTCATTGGAATAAACATACACTTTCAAGTGTGATTATAATTTTTCCCTCTTAAACACCTGCTAATATTGTAGCCATTGTTAATCTCCAGAGGTATTGGGGGCAGGGAGAGGAGAATGCTTATGATGGTCAGACGAACGCTGTTTCTTTGCTTTTTTGTCAATCGCAAGAAATGATCATTGAGCAAGAGCTTGAGGGATCCAGAGCTTTGACTGTAGTGAAAGGAATAGTTAGGTTGTCTTCATGGCCTTGCTAGCCCTATGTTGCACAAGCCCCCTGCTTAGAGGAGCCATGCGCTTTGTTAAACATTCTATTACCATCTTGACTTTCTTTAAAGAGTTTTGATTAGGAATGTGCAGTAACAAGGGTGGGACTGGAGGACTTTATGTGAAGTGGAATAAATCAGTTTCAGAAAGATAAATATTGTACAAACTCACTTATATGTGGAAGTAGTGGATAACAGTGGATCTCATAGAAACAGAGATTAAAGTAGTAGTTACCAGGGGCTGGAAAGCGTGGTAGAGGTGGGGATGGGGAGGGAGAGAGGGAGAATGGTTAGTAGGTACAGGGGTACAATTGGATATGAGGAATAACTTTCAATGTTTTATAGCATGGTAAGTAACTATAGTTGACAATAATTAATTATATATTTTAAAATATCCAGTGAGAGGATTTTGAATGTTTCTAACAAAAAAAATGATAAATGTTTCAGGTGACAGATTGCCAATTACCCTGATCTGATCTTTGCCTATCATATACATGTATTTAAATCTCACATAGTACTCTGTGAATATGTGCCAATTAAAATTTCTAAAAAACATGAAAAATTGAAGAAAGAGCTTCAAATTAAAAAAAAAATGAAGTTTTGACAAGAAACCTTGCATTTTCACTGGGTAGTGAATCCTGTAAATTGTAGAATTGGTCCTGGGAGAGATCAAAAGTCATACAGCTAAAACGTGACAAAGTCTGGGTATCTATACAACCATCCTTTCTCCAAATCATAGAAGAGTTCTGAACTCTTTAGTCAATTTAGTGAAAATATTATTTGTGTGGGCTATGTGACTCATTGGTATCTGTTATGGTGATTAATTTCAGGAACCCCCATTTTACAGATAGGGCAGGAGGGGTTCAGGAAAGCTAACTACCATGATGGATGGTGGTGCCAGATTTTAGACCTTGCTTTTCTGATTCCAGTGTGTATGCACACAGCAAATGTGCAGGGTTCATCCTCATGCTCTGATTCAACATTCTGGCCTCAGCTGGTAAGCCAGCACTTCCTCTCTTCCCTGTTCTGCCTTCAAATTAGAGGGTAGGATAGTTGTCAAAACAGCTCATGTTAAGCATAGCACAAAAATCCTCGTCTCTTGCAGCTCACAGTGAATTTTGCTTTCTTACCTAATAGAAGCGTTTTCATGGTGGTGTTTCTGGCAGTATGTCAGGAATGAGGAGAGAAGGTTCTCTGGGCCCAGCCTGAGATTCAAGAGCTGAAAATTGCACAGCTGGCCTGGCCCCCCCCACCCCCGGGGGGGTGCTGGGAACAAAGTCTCAGGCCTTAATAACAAAATTTTACGGAGGTATGCAATATGTACATGAACACCTGCCATTGCTGAGTTAAAAAAAAAATTGAAAAGGAACCTAGAACAATATAAACACCATGCCTGTAATTCAGATATAAAACCACTTGACTTCCTTTGAACCACGGAATGTGAAGTATTGATTTAGTAAGAGAACACAGCAAATAAGCCCTCAGCTCAAGATTTCTCTGCCTCAGGCCTCCCTCCAGGTGAGCTTAAATTGTCTTACCTGCTTGCTGCCTCCCTGGGACCGGGTCAGCTTCTGCTAGGAGTAGGGTTGTTTGGCTGTGATTTGTCCAGCTTCTGGTTCAGTGGCTGCCACTCACCCCTCATAAAGAGGGATTTGTGTACTGAAAGACTTTCTTTCCCCTGTGTAGGATTATCACTTGAGTCCTATTTTAGAAACCCAAGAAATAAGAACATGGCTATGGGACCCATGGGGGGAACTCTCCTGCTCAAGGTTGGCTCCCCTGGTGGTTTGGTATCAAGTCCCAGACCTGGAGATAATTGAGGACAATTTATTGATTACTTTTATTCCTTTCTGGGGTCTGGACTCCAGAGAGTCTCCCAGAAACATTTATTTGGTTTGATTTATTTTTCAGGAGCATTTTCTTTTCTTTTTTAAGTTATTTTCTTGCAAATATTTAGCCTTGCTTTCTTGATAAATTTATTTTCAGTTCAGTAGCTACTGGACTTGCCGGCTGTATACTTTATCACTGCCCTGAGAATTGAGGACAATGCCTTCTTGCAATGCTCCCGAGAGAGAAGGCTCACTACTTTACACTTAGAGATTTCAGCCCTCAGAATCAGGATGCTGGCAGATCTGCAAGAGACACATGACTTCTGCCCTTTTCAGTGGGAAGGTGAACAGGAAATTCTGGGAGAATATCACTGAAGCCATTGTGGAAGATACAGGCTTGAGAAGAAATTGATGATGAAAGGGAGTCTTTAGAAGGGGTTATAGTTCAGCCAATGTCAGAGACAGTGATGGACAAGGTGTTGGGGAATCAGGAAGCCCAGGTCCTCCCTAACTGGCAAAATTTGGTATGTCAAAGGAGCCCAGGATGTTTGAGATTTGCATTATCAGAGAGCAAACAAGAAGGAGCAAACAGAATCTAACAGAATGGGACAATGGCTCCATCGAGTTGTGACAGAAGACATTCCAGGAGCAAGTTTGGAGATAAGATTTGGTTGGCAAGATCAACCCAGGTCATTGTTTTCAATGCTTTCTGAGACTAGTCCACATTGGTTAATGGTATGCTGGCATGATTACATAGTCTAGTATAATCTTTTAACACATTATATGTTCTTAGATACTCTGATTAGCAGACTCTTTGCATATACAACTTCCAGCTAGAAATTGGAAACCTTTAGTTTGAATACTTCTCAGAAATAGTGTGTGTGTGTGTGTGTGTGTGTGTGTGTGTGTGTGTGGTTTCTACTTTCCTGAATTTGAACCAAGAGAAGATGCTAAATTTAAACAACTGAAGATCCAGTCAGAGTAAAGAAAGCCTTGGGGCGAGGGTGGAGGTCCTTATTTACCCAATCTTGGAAAGGGGAGTGCTATATTTTCCCAAGACTCAGCCATTCCCTAAACCATTTCTGCCTTCTTCCTTTTCTCACACAGAATGTGCTGCCTTGTGTGGAAATTCCTGACCTTTGGAACTCTCTCTACTTCTTGTCTTTATCTCCATTTTGCAGATGGCCCCTCACTGAAGGGGGATATCCATCTGTGGGCCAGGAGGGCAGTAAGTAGTCATTGAAGGAGACTCCAGGTCTCTATCCCACTTTCCCAATTACCCTGCCTCCTAGGCACTGCTTTCACTGAATAGTTCCCTAGAAATACACTTCCTTGCAGCACACTACCTGTTGAGGTCTTCCATCATTTTGTTAACTTTTCCATCTTCTCCACATTTCCCCTATGAAGCTATATTCTAAATGACCATTTCTACCCAGCAAAAACTGAATCCCATTTTAGTTTGAAGACCTGCATCTCTGTGATGGATGCTTCATTTCTTTTTTCTCAAGAGTTTTCTTT